GTATTAGGAAGCTTTCCCCCGGACTGTGAATCACTCTCATATCAGATTGTTTTGTACAATTTGCGTGCCGCGTGATTCCACCCCTAAGAAGTTCTGCCATCCCTGCCCGGTCGCGACGAGTTGCTCCCTGAGCACTTGTAGCTACTGTGATTTGAGTTTTGAGTTTTGAGACATCAGAAAGTCGGATTCGCCGCATCTGGTTTAGTCGCGGCATTTAGTGTCGTCGCCTTCGGGCTTTGTTGAGATCGTTCCACACCTCTAGCTTGGCAGTGCGTCGACTAGTTGTGCTCGGGTTGTTTTGGTCAGTTGGCAGTGCGTCGACTTGAGAACTTTGGTTCCACACTTCTTGCTTGGCAGTGCGTCGACAAGTTGTGCTCGGGTTTTGGACATTGGATATTGGCTGTTAGTTGGCAGTGCGTCGACGCGGCATTTTGGTTTACTAGTTGGCAGTGCGTCGACTCAGTACTTTTGGTTGTGTCAGTTGGCAGTGCGTCGACTTGACATTTTGGTTCTACTAGTTGGCAGTGCGTCGACTCAGTATATTGGTCGTATCGGTTGGCAGTGCGTCGACTTGATATTTGGGCTTTGCGTCACCATCTAGACGCTGTCGCTACAAGGGATCTTAATACTTCGTATTAAGCTCTGACTTGTTATATTGTTGGTTGTGGATTGGATTAGTGTTGGTTGTGTTCGTATAGGAGATATTGGTTGAGATACCATTGTTTGCTATATATAAATTCTTGTCGTCGACTTCGTCTCCGCGACTATTGGATCTGCGTCTATTGAGAGTTGTGATACTGGTGCTCTGTCCACCCCGAAGCCCTCGCATCTTTCACACACTGAGAAGCTGATTATGAGGAGTGTGAACGTGTTTATATTTGGGTTTACTTTCATAGTAGATTCACTTGTGAGCACGCCCTCAGCATTTCAGCGGCTGTGACTCCCGTCACTGTTGCACCTGGCCTGATAACAACACTACTTAGAAGGCTGCACTCATGCGCCAAAACTGGGCCTCTGACGCAATGTCTGGGATTACACCTGTCACCTCCATGTCCCCTCTGGGCCCTCCTGCATCTCCACTCAAAACAATGAATTTGAAACTCGAGTCCACTGCGGCAGGCATCCATCGCCTCTATGGCTATGCATGGCAAGGACGCTATCTTCACATTTACCTCAGACCTTGACACGCTACGTGAGAACATTGGCGTCCTCCACACCTCTATGTGCGATACTCGCTCAGCCCTTGAGGTCTCCTGAACCCTCCAGGCTGTAACTGTCTGTGATGAGCTCATTGGCCAATTACAACATTGTGGACACAATCCAGGGCTGGAACTCTCATGTCACCAGCATCGAGACTGGCCACACATCCATCCTTGCTACCCTTGCCAGTCTCAAGCTGTGCTGGAAGCCGCTCTCGAGCAAGGAGTGGAACAGTCTGTCCCCCCAGATGGTTATCATGCCAACCTCACTGATGGCATTCCCCACATCAAACGGCAAGCGGACCTCGTCCTCCACCCTCACCTGTGAGCGCGACCACCTCACTCACCACGAGTCACCTCCATCATTGATCATGATCCACACTGACTCTCAACGCCCCCAGGCCAACCAGCGGTCACTCTCCCTGGGGAGCGGGTATCAAATGGTTCTTGTTATACCTATGAGCACACTGTATTTCTACTCTGTGATGACAGATAGTCATACAACATGCTGCTACTTCATGATGACGAGGCAGCGCACACCAACTGCCCCCTTCTTGCTTAGTCCTTGATAGATGTTCGGAGTTATATGCTGAAAAGCCCTTCGGATAAGCAGCTGGGGGTCCAAGACGAAGGCGCATATTTAGCTTGTACCTAGCGCTAGGATAATCTTGGGAACACGGTGTTCAGTGATTGGACCATGCCGTGTATAATACTATCACTATCACTACTATCACTGGACTGTGTGGTGCCATGACCTGTGACAAGATAACCAGATGTGTTGAGATAAGAGATAAGATAAGATTGTTGATGAAAAGGATGAAAAAGATGAAAAAGCGGTTGAACTATGACACCGGGGACCTCAGGGCTCTAATATGGTTGCCAGTACTCATTGATAACAAGATTTATCACAATACTTTTGGCTGGACACAAGCCAAAATGTTGGCTTGCAAGCCCTGATGGTATCATTTTACTGCCAAATCCACGCCCATGCCAAAAAAAGCCATTCTGCGCCAGCACAAGCCACTTGGCCAAGCCAAAAATGTTGCTCTTGTCAAACAAATTCATGCAGCTAGCAGAAAATCTGGACGCCAACTTGAAGCATATTCGATTCTCCCAAAGTATTTCCGGGACTAGAGCGTGCGACGACTACAGATCAAATAGAAGATCCTCGATATGCCTTCAGTACAAGAGACAGTCCGCCTGTCAAAACACGACCACCCTTGCCATCGGAAACGAACTAGAACGGGCGCTGCAGCTGCGCTGACATCACAGAGCTGACAAGTTCCGCTCCTGGCAGGAACTCGAAAGCCCGGAGCAGACTGAACAGGATTGCCTTTTGTCTATGGGGACTAGATCAGCAAAGTGCGCCGGCAGTGCGACAGAATGGACTGTGCTCACTCGATCAAGGAGAATCGGAAGCCGATACAGCTATGAGCACCAGCGAGGAAAGTCAACTGATTACCCCACACGCCTGGCACCGAGCGCACGGCATCAGGGAGATCATCCCATCGCTCGGGTCTGCACAAGACAGGAGAAGAGGAAACATCAAATGGCGATGCGCGGAAGGCAGAGAACACACAGACTTGAACTCAAGGGAATCCTCGCCCCAAATCCCCTTGTCAGTATTGATGGCCAGGATCGAGATAGTGAGCAGCTGTCCCTTGGGGATTCTGTCCATCATGAGAGACACCGGTCTTTGTAGCACAGCAGAAGGAACATACGGCAAAGTCTTGTGAGACACGCCCCACCGGTCCACATATGGTTTGCTCAGCGGTAACACGTCGTTCTGGATGGCCATGCGCTGAATAAAGACGACTGGGGCGTACAGCCGCAGAGTCTCCTTCAGCACGGTCTCGAAGAATGGCAATGCGTTCAGCTCGTCCATGGTCGGTGTATCGGTCTGTATGGAAAGCAGCTCCTTGCGTAACTTGTCTTGCACAGCGGGATGGTGGGATAACGCATGGACGGCCCAGCCTAGCGCGACACTGCTGGTCTCATGCCCGGCGAGGAGAAACGTCGGGATTTCTGGAAGGGCACCGGTAATCGTAATCAGTCTCAGTTCACCTTTATTGCAGTCACGTACGGGCTATGACTTCGCTGTCGCTCAAACGTTGGCTATCTGGAACATCTGCAGACATATTTGCCTTGACAAGAATGGAGAGCAGATCACGCCTTGAGCCCAATTCCTTCTCTCCCAGTGCCTGTGCCTCGGCCTTGGCTCTTTGCATGAGGCTTGTTCCCACTGCATTCATTGTCTTGATTGCGAACTGCGTGGAGCGCCAGCCAGGCAGGGGCTGCGAGTTGTCAAATGAGCGAGGCACTGCGTGTGATTTGACTGGCTTGCCGCTCACCAGAACCCTGAGGACTGGAATGACGGCCTGAGCGAGCTGCACAGCGGTGTTCAGGTTGGCGTTGGGAACGTGGAACAACAGACGGAAGGCCTTGCTCAGGTCGCCTTCATTTCTTCCCCCTGACTGGAGAGAGTTGAAGTTGTATCCGAAGCCTGACATCATGGCTAGAACGACGATTCAGGGACTCGAGACGAGCAGCACACACCGGTCTGTCCCATGATATCCAGCGTCGCTTGACGGAACATCTCGGCGAGGTTGACGGTGGCGGTTCCACCGGCTTTCCTAACATTGGCCGCCAAAATATCTCGCAGCTGTCGCCATCAGTGGCATATGAGACAAGGCAAGCAACAGAACGTCACCACGATGGCCTGCTCCAGAAAAACTTGGCTCATCAGGCGGATTTGTTGAGCGTTGAACGCGGGGTGCTGGGACAGCGCTCAGACGCAACCAACACTCGATCGGCACACTCACAAGGATCTTGCGCTAGACGGTCGTGGATTGAGAAGCAGAGATGGCGGGCAGCCGTGGAGGCTTACCTGACGTCGGTGGGGATCCATTTCGACCGATAAGAGTCCGGCACCGAGTATCCGAGTGAGACTTGCGACAAACTCGGGCGTTCTAGGGTACAGCGAACCGTGCCTAAGGATATGTGCTACAGCCTTGAGGTCGGTCGTGTGCAGGTCGTCAACCTGCGCCCGCTTCTGAGAGACTGTTTTTCACACGAAAATCCCAAAATTCACGTACGCCGAACATGCCCTTGGCCATAAAGGTCGGACCGTACTGTTCCCGCCATCGGTCCCCCGTCTCTGGCACGTCCTGGAGCGAGATTCAGTCACAAGGGGACAGAGAGACGGGTTGGATCCTCACAGAGGTCAATAACGAGTGGCCAAATACCAAGTTCAACGACGGCGGCCCATCGATGAATTTCAAGGGGGACGTCCACCCCCTGTAAAGCGTCCGAGCGAGATGGAAAACAACATAGGAAAGGAGGGTAAAAGCGATCGGCACTGCGACTGTGAAGGACATCTTGCAGTATTGCACGAGAAATTTCAACCTGTGGAGAGTGAGTCCGCGAAATGAGAGCTTATGTAGTTTTCTGAGCGTGCAGTTACAATAGGTAGTTTGTAACTTAGCGGGCCGGCGAGTAAAAAGATATGACCGAGCGGACTTCTGAACGAAGACGCAGTGACTGGGTACGAAATCTGGGTGTCATATAGAATGACTTGTGCAGGCCGTTCAAGCACCCGGAAATCAGTCTGTTTGTGCTACACATGACGGAAGAGGAAAAACCAGTTTGACGCTTGAATTGTGATTGGCGGCCGTGAGAGATTCCTTACCGAGTTCTTTGATATGCAGCTACCGGGAAAGACCGGGAATTTAAGACGGGCGTAGTCTTTGACGGGCACATGTGTGGGTTGAAGATCGCGAATCGGACGGTGCGGTACATCATGTCAGATTAATCTAGATTGGTGCAAGGAAGTAACAATCAAGCACGTGAGAGAAGCAAAAAACTCGAAAAAACCATCGCTGGCTCAGTGATGAGTCCAAGCTTTCTCAGATGTGGACCCTGCGAGTCTCATCGCCTATGAGTTTGCCGCGCAGGCCGGATTCCTTGCGCTTTTGAACTGCAGTGCACAGCGACCGGGTTGCAGACATGGGCCCCCGGAAACTTCCAAGAATGGCCGCCTCAGGCTGGTGACTATTACGTGGACGCGCGTCTTTTACGACTCACTCCGAACGAAAAAGCTTCGACACGATCTCTTAGGATGATCTGGATGGGACAATGAGCTGTTAATTGAAAATTAAGGGACTAGGAGACAAGGAGCGTTTGTGGACGATCACTCCAACGTATGCAAGGGGTTATATGACTGAGAAAGACTGAAACCTGGCAAAGATCTACGCATTTCCGGCCTTCAGGCCAATCCACTCCCGCTCCCTCTCGTCGCTCATGCTGGGCTTGCGAGGATCATTCTTGGAGGTGTAGTATGTCAGATTGAGCAGCACGCAGCTAGATGGACTGTTAAGCAACCGCCGCCGTCCGTATCGCAGAGAAAACTCACGCTAGCCATTCCGTGAACACTCCCAGAACGTATTCGATTGCAGAGAACCGGGGGGTGAAACCTCCGGCGTCATAGTTGCTCGCTGCATGGGGGTCAGAGTCGCTCGTCGTTCAGTCTGGACAGGATAGTCACGAACGATTGTAATACGACAACTGCCGCAAGATCGAAAGTCAGCGGGAGTTTGAGAACAAAGCGCTCTGTCACTCACGCTCCACACGCAAGCCTGCAGGATTCCGAATATGCCACGAACGATGAGCGGGAACCACGCAAGGAGAAGCAGCACCAGCGTTGGATGGACGGTCCCAGGCCGGCGGCGAGCGTCCCCCTCCCGGCGGTTGTTCCGCATCGTGACCAGGACCACGGCGAGCAACAGCGTGTTGGCTGCGAGGAACACACTCTGGCCGGTGGTGCGCGTGATGCGCGACACGAGCATCCTGTGGCGTGCGTCGGCCGAGTTCAGGTCAGTGTAGTCGACGCCGGCGAGGTATGAGCCACCGACGATGATGGCGACGTTGGCGGCGACGAGCGCGGAGTGGAAGAAGACCATCGGGTGGTCGCCGTAGACGACGAACGCGAGCGGTCCGAGGAGCGTGAAGATGAGGCCCTTGCGCCATTTGTTTGTGTTGGGCGGATCGCGGGGCTCGAGCCAGGATTCGCCACTGGAGAGATTGTGTTGGTGCCAGGACACGACGAAGCGGAACGCGCAGAGCACCTTCGGTGGGGGGCTGTGAATCAGTGCGAATCGCGCAGGTGCAGATCAGGAAGCGAGCCCACCAACGAAAAGTACCCCTCTGCGCCGAGAATGAGGAATGCCAGAAACACACTCGTGTTCGAGAACCCGAGGATGCCAAATGCGATCCCGCATGCCTGCGAGGCGAGGCGGACGGTGACGTGGAAGAAGACAAGCGAGTAGCGAGAGCGCCACTTGATGCGGTGGGTGAGGTATGCAAAGAGCATCCACGCGAAGATCGCCAGGTACTTTGCGGGGGTTTGCAATAGATCAGCACAGGAGGTGGACGGCAACGATGAGGGCACGCACAGCGATGAGGAAAACGAGGGCTGCGCCGGCTTCACCTGTGAAGCGGGCCATTTGTTGTGGAGGATAAGACATTGGTGTGCTTGGAGTGCGACGGCTGCTTAATATGACGGGGGATGGTCAAAAGGGTGTGGCCCTCGACGCTGCGGATTCGATTGAATTCCATCGTTCACAGATCGCGACACCGTGCGGCACGCAATTGCAACTGCGCAGGAAGAAGCCAGCCAGGTGACTGCGCCGCTCGCAAAAAAAAAATGCCAGAATGGACTCAAACTAAAATCGGGTTACGGTGCAAAGAATCGGTCCAGAAATCGGTCCGATCCGCAACTGGACTGAAGTCAGCCCGGGACAAGTCCCATCCGAGCCAGACATGACGTCCGATTCGGAGTTCTCGGGTGATGCTGAGCTGGTCTGAATGGGTGCCAAACCTTGAGCTTGGTCATGATGCCGTGCTTTGCTGTCGCTGACTAAGATTCAAGTTCGGGGATGCCGCTGGTATGACGTGCCTGCCGGCATTTCAGCATGCGCAATTTTCGCTGGAGAAATCACCGTCAGGCCAGAGGCGCTTCAGGACAAATTCCGAGCTAGAACCTCGGTGACAGAAGCAAGTGGCCATGTTGATGAGCTCCGCCGTCCCTCCTGTCACGCGTTGTTCTTCCATGCTCCTCACGTTCGTGCCAAGGACGTATCTTGAAACGGCTTTCTGCCTTGATGCACGCGCTCCAAACACAACGCGGCGAAGCTGTCATTGCTTTCCCAGTGCAGCGCAGGGCTGCAACGGTCTGGGCATGCGCTGCTCTAGACCTCCCTAAATCCGCATTGTTCCCCACGAGACCTCTCATTCTCACCTCTATTCGCCGGGTCGATTCTAGCCGGCGATGGTGGCTTGGGCAGCAATCCGGGGCACCGCTTTAGTTCTTAGTTTCCTCGCACCAACATATAGGGCGTTTGGTGGGCTTCAGCCAGCCTCATTTGCTCCCTCCATGGCTGTCGCATGACATTCGGGGTCCTCCTCGTACCCCGCGCCCGAACTTCCCCATTCAAATTTCATCAGGAATCAGACGCCGAGTATCGTTTCCCCGGATTCAGAAAGGGGAACAGAAATCGTGCGATTCCCGCACAGAAGAAATGCCGGAGATGCTTCGATCTCAACACCATCTGTGAAAACAACAGAACTGACCTTCAAACAACCTCCAACCGTTACTCATAAAAGATTGATCGTCCCTTTCAGCTCGAACACTACCACTCATTCGGGCGATGGATCCTTGTACCCATGGAAAGGCTCCCCCAAAGCGCGGGAAGGCCTGCTATCCCTGTACGACTGTGAGAACGGTATGTGGGAGACTGGCAGCTCTGTGACCTTACGATGACCAGGATCGAAGAAGTGCGACGGTGTGCAGCCCTTCTGCGGGCCTTGCGTACGTGCGAAATGGGAGGACGATTGCGAATACATTATCCACAGACAGAAGGCCAGGGTTCAGACCTTTCGGGAGCGAATTCAGGAGCTAGAGGTAAAGATACGAGTTTTCGAACAAGGCAAGGGTCAAGCATCGAAGAAGAAGATTAAAAAGTCTCGAGAAGCAACTCCGTCCACCTCAACCTCCGTGTCCTCGCAAAACTCGCGATCAATCTTTCCGTTTCCCTCTACCGGCTCTTCCGGCTCTTCCATCCGATCCACCCCTGCTCCACCCTCTTCGACCTGCTCCTCCTCCCCCCGAACCCAGGAATCGACCGAGTTATTTGTCCCGGAGTCTTTCGCCAAGGCCATCCCGCTCAATGTAGCCCGTCTCTTGTCAGTGGTGATCGACCCTTCTCTTCCCGTCCGTTTGCTGATCCTGACTCAGTTGGGATACTTTTTTTGCGCACGCTGCCGACTTCTGCTTCTTTCTGGATCTGGCCCTGATAGAGTTCCGCCCTGTCGCTGATCGCCCCGCCCACATCAGCCCCGGACTCACAGCCACTATCTATCTGCTCTCAGTGCATGTCTTGGCCCATCCCGGTGTTGCCAAATTGGAGTCCTTCCTGCTTGCCACTGCTTGCAATCTGTTACTGAAGGAGCTCGCGATACCCGGTGCCAACATCGCTGAGATTCTACAGGCGGAGCTGTTGCTCGCTCAATATTTCTTTGCTCGGGGGCGCAATACTCAAGCTCGTTTTCACATGTCCATCGGCTTGGGTATCGCGTTCGGCTGTGGGCTTCCCGATAAAGCGTGTCCTGGCCTGGATCCGAGACGATCCCGGACAGCCTATCTGTTCCTGCTATCCCTTGATAATGCATGGTCTGCAGCGCTGGGCTACACCCCCCACAAGTCGCTCTCTTCTGTCTCCCATGGCTCCAAGAGCGAAGTGTTGAATGATCTGTGGATGGTGTCTGGGTTTCCGGGGGATGCCATTGTGGTCACCAAGTCTGTGACTCTCTGGCAGAGCGTCGAGGAATTACTCACCAGTGCGTGCTGAGGATCTTACTGCCCGTCACAGAAACTGATGTCGACTGATAGCACCCGTCCCATCCGGCGATCTCTTTGAGCGATCGGAGAATCTCGAGAAGTTGATTCAGCTCTGGTTACTTGAGCTGGATAACTATGAGTCAGGAAACCGGGACGGTGGCGCCCTGAGCCGCGTGCTTCTCTTGGCGGGAACCATTACCCACTACGCGTACATGAAACTGCGTAGATTGGCTTGGGTTCGGGAGACGCGGGAAGACCACTTGCGTTCCGCCTGCGCAATCCTGTACAAAACTATCACCGCGGTCGAAAAAGGAAGAATCACGTACTTGAACCCACTCATGGGGGTCAGTGCCTGCTTTCTTCATCCGAGTTGATTGAATCTGACCGTCCTGTCCAGAAAATCTGGTATGGGGTATATGAGCTTCTTTCTGACGAAATTTGTCAGAGGGGGGTTCTTGGTGAGGATACATCCGGGTTAAAACTAACATTGCGTGCTGGACTTGATGCCATTTCAACTCTATCAAGTACTTGTTGCTTTGCAAGGGAGTTCTCAGTATTGGATGTACCCTCATGATATCTGAATAGAGAGATATCATCCTCTAAGAGGATGATATCTCTCAGCTATCTCTGCTGTCCATATCATAATGAAAGATCCCCGCCGGAGTCCCGCAGGGCAAATAAGACTACCGCCAGAGTTCCGCGGGGTCAAGTGGCACAACTGCTGGATCTACAATAGAAATGCATGGCCAATATCAACTTTGCGGTACCCAATTGTGTAGACAACAATCACCCATAAGCCCTCAGTTGCACCCAAGTGATGGTAAGACTCTGTTTCACCTGTAGCCAACGATCACCTGTAAGTCTACAAGCTACTGTAATGTAATGGAGATGCATACCCAAGAAGCAACAAAATAAGTAGGAGTGGGACTCGTGGGCCACTCCTATTGTAGATATCAATCCTACATCAGATGAGGTTCCCTCCTGGCTGTCTCGAGCTTCATTTGAGTCCTACCCCAACTTGAGTTGACGGCAGTGATTACGGCCGGTGATTGAGACAAGACACACATGTGAGACACACGTGGCACTGAGCTGTTTTGGGCAGGGTGATATACTAGTCATAACACCTTGGCGCAACACTGCCCTCAGTAAAAAGTTTTTAATATCCAATTACTTATCATACGCATAAAATCTTGTGATACGTGTACAACCATCACAACTCATCACAGTCATGTCTGACTTTGAGCATGTTGTTAAGGAACTTCCTCTCAAAACCATCAAATCATACTGTCACTTTGTGCATAGCTGTGAATAAACAATGTCCTGCCAGTGATCTCTCTCACACACCCTGTTGACAGATGTTTCCCAAGGAATGTACACAACTGGGACACAATCCTTCTTTCTTGATCAGCAACTCCAGTGACTGGATCACGTTGCAAGGGCTTGAACTTTACTATCAATACAACAAAGCCCTTGACATACCAGGGCTAAATCCATCCAATGCATCTCAGCGTGATTTGACTGCCTTTGTAAGGGCAAGCTTGAGGCCCAATGTCAGAGTCCTGGCAAGGGAGAATCCAAAGTGAATAATAGTGGTAGCTAGGTACAAGACCAGCATACCTGGCAAGGGAGAATCCAAAGAGAAACCGTGTTGGGGATTCTCCTTGCCAGGCACCACTATTTATATAATACAGGAACAATAGACTGCGCAGCAACAAACAAGAACAATAGGAAAAATAAGTACAATGGCCATGACAGAACAATAGGAAACAGAGACAATAGGAACAATGGCACCACCTGCCATCAGAGAGAAGCGCTTGGCGCGGCAGTCCAGTGATAGGCTGGCTACCAGATGCGCTCTGCACCAGCTCTATAAGGGCATATTTTTGCGCTTTTACAGAGTTTACTCTTGAACCACTCGGTGTATCGTGTTGCAGTTGACAGTGTTGCGCTCAGTAGGACTTATGGGTCTACTGCCCAGTCGATGACTGTGGATAGTGTCGACAATAGCAAGGCAGTCAGACCACTACTGTGGAATTGGTCTTATGAGTCTACACCAGGCTCAGGGCTATTAGTGACGAACGCTTGGGCCGCGACAATTCCCCAAAACGGGATCTTTGTTGCGGCGACTTCTCAAAAGGGTCATTCTCTGCAGATGGGAACTTGGGCTGAAGGGCTGAGCAATGTGCGACGTTCTCAATAATACAACTACAACTGGACAGGACTTGGCATTACGAGATTGAACCAATCTTGTTGCGGCAACTCCTGGTTTTGAGTTGGACGTTTCCTCAGATCGTGCCTTGGCGACGACTTGTCACATGTCAGGATCCACTCAATCACGGGACATTGTGGACGCGTTGCGGTGACACTTCCAAGTGTCATGGCGAGTCGCGCCCATACCCAAACACACTAAAATTGACACGGGCTAGATCCATGAACTGAACCATGTGAGAAACAATTGGCGTGCCTAGGGCCATACGGCTTCTTGGGGCACCCACGTTGGACTCACTTGCCAAGACATACCAGTTGGCCAATCCAGCACTTCGTATTCCAAAAGTATGACGCGGTGGGTTGACCCACATCAAAAGTATCATATGGACTATGGGGCGGGGTCCTGATCACTCAGGACCTGTCCGATTGTTCAACTTTTCATTACCCTAAAAGGCAACCGGTCTTAGATAGCATAGCTACTATGCAGTTGTACAGGACTTTACTAAGCATCGTCGTAGACAGTATAAGTAGCACGTCGTTTCTTTGTATTAGAAAGCTTTCCCCCGGACTGTGAATTACTCTCATATCAGATTGTTTTGTACAATTTGCGTGCCGCGTGATTCCACCCTAAGAAGTTCTGCTACCCCTGCCCGGTCGCGACGAGTTGCTCCCTGAGCACTTGTAGCTACTGTGATTTGAGTTTGAGTTGAGATATCAGAAAGTCGGATTCGCCGCATCTGGTTTAGTCGCGGCATTTAGTGTCGTCGCCTTCGGGCTTTGTTGAGATCGTTCCACACCTCTAGCTTGGCAGTGCGTCGACTAGTTGTGCTCGGGTTGTTTTGGTCAGTTGGCAGTGCGTCGACTTGAGAACTTTGGTTCCACACCTCTTGCTTGGCAGTGCGCCGACAAGTTGTGCTCGGGTTTTGGACATTGGGTATTGGCTGTTAGTTGGCAGTGCGTCAACGCAGCATTTTGGTTTTACTAGTTGGCAGTGCGTCGACTTAGTATTTTGATTGTGTCAGTTGGCAGTGCATCGACTTGATTTTTGGGCTTTGCATCGCCACCTGGACGCTGTCGCTACAAGGGACCTTCATACTTTGTATTAAGTTCTGACTTGTGATATTGTTGGTTGTGGATTGGATTAGTGTTGGTTTTGGTCATATAGAAGATATTGGTTGAGACACCACTGTTTGCTATATATAAATTCTTGTCGTTGACTTCGTCTTCCGCGACTATTGGATCTGCGTCTATTGAGAGTTGTGATACGGGTGCTCTGTCCACCCCAAAGCCCTCACATCTTTCACACACTGAGAAGCTGATTGCGAGGAGTGTGAACATATTTATATTGGGGTTTACTTCACAGTAGATTCACTTGTGAGCACGCCCTCAGCATTTCACCGGGCTGCTGCACATGACAGCTGGCAGGTCACATGAGCGTGATCACATGCCAGATCCCAGGCTGATCGGTCCAAAGCGGGGGTTCCCCTGACCGCCTTGCGCAAGGAAGTAGGTCATTGATCTTTCACTTGGACTGATCTTTGACTCAAAGCTTGCAATAGATCATTCCCGACTATCTTTCAACACATCAGTCTTTCAGTCTTGAGCATGTGGAGACATGGGTCAAGCCTCAGGTCTTTTCAGCTTATAAACAACTTCTCTTGCCGTCACAGCCAGTGTTGGATCAACGTGGTCAGTCGGCCATGGAGAGGTGTTCTCTGATTGCGGAGACATAGAATGAGGAAGGTATAGAGCTGGATTATGATCTACTATCCTGGCTGCCAAGCTTGATGTACATGGGGAGTGTGTTGGATGGCAATCTGCCCATTTTCAGTGGTTTGCTAACTGTTGTTTTTTGGGGAAACTGTAAGAGCAACTCCTGCCAGCCCAAAGGAAGAGAGCACACAGCACACAACAACCTCACATGAGTCTAAGCACAGAGGGGGATCCTTAGAGAACAGTTCAATGGTCCATGTGCCTAGGTGTCACACTATATAGTCAGCTGTGACAAGTAACTGATGATGGGATATCACTGCCATGGAATAATGGCAGATGATGAGTAGATGATGACAAACCCAGATAAGATAGTGAGTGGCTCAGAGAGGCCAGTGATGGCCAGCTCCTGAGACACCAACAGTGGAAAGCCACACTGGAGGAGCCCAGTGGCCAGGCCAGTGCCGGGCTGGCTAGTGGAGACATCGGAGGCGAGGACCAATGCCTGACTGGGAAGAGGGGTGGTGTGGATGAGCGCAAGGGCATCTGGTATGAGCCTGTATGGCAGTAGACCACATCTGCGGGAAGAAGGCCAAAGTAGAGGGGGAGGAGTGTGTATAGCAGTAGCACTCCCTGGTGCAAGGAATTGGGCATGGCTAGACCGCTTGCAGGGATTTGAAGAAGATGGCCGGGAGGAGGGGGAGAGAGCAGACATTGGCACAGATGGAGATGGGAATTGGAGGAGGACACGTCCCCAAGGAGTGTGGCGTCCCCTGACAGAAACATTAATCTGATTGTTTCTTATAGATGACAAAGAGATTCCCTTTCCAGAATCATTGACTTGACCCAAAAGTGCGGCTCTAATGTCCTCTGTTCTCTCTACTGGTAAATACTTAACACTCTTGAGTCCTAATTGCCAAGTGTGATCCTTTGATTTTGTAGATTCACGCCCAGAAAATGACAGTGCTATGCCAGATACACCTCCTATTCTCAAAATCGATTTGCAATGTAACTATCTGTACTTCTGGTGTCATAATTCAATCACTGTAGTGTCAACAATTGCAAGGCAGTCAGATCACTACTGTGGAATTGGTCTTATAAGTCTATACTAGACTCAGGGCTAGTAGTGACAGACACTTGTGCCACAGCAATCCCTCAAAAGAGATACTCTTGTCATGGCAACTCCTTGAAAGGGTCATTCTCTGCAGATGGGGACTTATGCCGGAGAGCTTAGCAATGCACAATGTGTTCAATATAACAACTACCACTAGACAGGACTTGGCGTTACAAGATTGAACCAATCTTGTCCCACCCAGCTTTGGGTTGGATGTTTGCTCAGATCATGCCACAGCAACGACTTGTCCCATACCATGTTCTACTTAATTGCAGGATATTGTAGACGTGTCGCGGTGACACTTCTAAGTGTCACAACAAGCCACATCCATACCCAAACACACCAGAAGTGACATAGACTAGATCCGTGAACCAAACCATGTGAGGAACGTCTAGCGTGCATTAGGGAGCTTTTCCCGGACTGTGAATCATACCCATATCAGATTTTTTTCTACAATTTGCATGTCACGTGATTCCTCCTTAAGAAGGTCTATTATCCCTGCCCGGTCGCAATGAGTTGCTCCCTGAGCACTTGTAGCTACTGTGATTTGAGTTTTGAGTTGAGACATCAGAAAGTTGGATTCACTGCTTCTTGTTTTGTTGTGGCACTTTGTGTCGTTAATTTTGTTTGTTGAGATTGTGCCACACCTCTTGCTTGGCAGTGCATCAACTAGTTGTGCACAGGTAGTTTTGGTCAGTTAGCAGTGCATCAACTTGGTATTTTGGGTTTTGCATTGCCATTTGGATGCTGTTACTACAAGGGATCTTAATACTCTGTATGAAGTTCTGACTTGTGATATTGTTGGTTGTGGTTGGATTAGTGTCGATTTTGGCTGTATAGAAGATGATGTTTGAGACACCATTGTTTGCTTTATATATGTTCTTGGGTGTCAACTCCGTCTTCTGTGACTATTGTATCCTGTGTCTATTGAGAGTTGTAATTCTGGTGTTCTGTTCACCCTGAAGCCCTTGCATCTTTCACACACTGAGAAGCTAATTACAAGGAGTGTGAACGTGTTTATATTTGGGTTTACTTTCACAGTAGATTCTCTTGTGAGCGCGCCCTTAGCATTTTACCATCCATCCTTGCCAGCTGTAAGCAATATGATGTTGATACCAAGGAGAAGGAAAGTCTATGGCAATTTGTCCTCAATGCCAATGAGCGTGAAGGGGACTCTAAATGGGCTGTGATTGCTAGACACATTTCAAAGATTGTCATGAGAAGATCTTGCATTGTGCCAAAGTTACAGATTCTTTTGCTTTGTTACAGAGCTTCAATGCAAAGCAAAGCATGGGGACATCCTGTGCAAAGGTCACCTGCAAATGATCTTCAGCAATTCTCATTTGTCCCAACCCCCATGTGCGTTTGACTGGGATTGCACCCAGGGAAAGATGTTCCTCCACTCTGTTAAGTAGTACTGGCAATTCCTCTCTGAGGCCTTCTATGTGAATGGGGTAGTATCAGAGGAATGGGTGGTACATTTTGCCCTCTCCTACATGTCCAAGGACTTGGCAGCCTCCAGGTCAGAACACTTGTAAGAACACTCTCTCTTCCCGTTCCCTATCTGGTCCTCCTTCATTGCCAAATTCAAGCTCTGGTTTGTCAAGGAGAATGAGCAAGACCATGCCCTAGCATGACTGGAGACCCATGCCTACTACATGGGCTTCCACAATGTCTTCAAGTACTCGAACAAGTGCGACAACCTTCTTGACCTAGTAGGGTACTCTGACAACCTGGTCAAGGTCACCAAGTACCAAGTGGGTGTGGATCCCAGGATTAACCTGTTGCAGACAATACCGCGCAGTGGAGATATGACCAGTAGCGATCACCTATAAGACAGAGTCTCAGCGAGTGTAGAGACACAGGAGCTTTATCATTAGCTGTACCTATAAGACAGAGTCTATGGTACAAGTCATACGTAAGGTCATTAGATTGTAAGGGAGAATGCATACCTCAGCGAGTGTAGAGACACAGGAGCTGAGGATATGGAGCGTATAGTACTAGGTTTATATACCAGTCTGGAGTAGATATCATGATGTCATAGTGGAGTAATGATATCATAGATGAGTAATGGATGACGCAATAATGAGGTCAGGTATGAGGTCATTGTGGAGCAAGCCAAAGTAATCTAAGAATACTACTTATGATGTCATGTCTACATACTGTGATAGTCGCTAATACAAACAAGCTTCAACATAACCAGGCAATCATGACCTCTGACAACCCACCCTGCCTTACAAACTAAAAACCCCAAGTGGTGCACTTGTGCATTCCGCCAGTACAACACTGAAGTGACTGCTTTTGCTCTGTGGCCCCTCCAGTTGTTGTGCCACCCCCACTGCCCAACTGGCCCCAGTTGTCCTCTTAATAGGCATTCCCATGGAGATCAACCAAACCAGGGCCCACAGTGGTGTTTGTTCCACCTGCTTCTAGTGTGGAAGCCCAGAACACTTGGCCGGGGCTGCCCAACCCCAGCTAATGTCCAGTATGTTGATGTCATGGGCAAGGTAATCAATCAGCTGGGAAGTGACCTGTTGGTGGAATTAGTGGCCTGGTCAGCAACTACGGCGGCCAAGAAGCAATATAGTCCTCGGCACGCCAGGCATTGCTCACATAGTTTGGCTCACGGATCTTGTCTGTGTTGCTTTTAGTGTGTTTGGGTGTGGATGCAGCTTGTTGTGATACCTGGAAGTGTCACTGCAACATGTCCACAGTATCTGTCATGGATTATAGATGTTTATAATTTATAATTTATTATAAATGACGATTGATCAAGTGCTTCTTAGTGATCACAGGATCAAAACTCTTAGTGACATGATATTGCTTGCATAGCCTTCCACTGCCTTTCCTGTTATTTACTATGGAGCGCAGTTAATCTATGTACACAGCCTTTTAGATAAATTGTCATAGTTCGGCCACTTTTTCATCTTATCATCAACGATCTTATCTTATCTTGGCACAACTTATCTTATCACGGATCACGGCATCAGACGGTCCGGACTAGGGGTTTCAGGGGATTATCTTCATCGATTCGAGGCTGCGCGACATATGCTCCAGAAGGTTCTACTACGACCCATGACCAGCGTTCCATGCGGTACATAGCCCTATGACTCATTAGTTGTAGATATGACTCAGACTGGATTTGGGTATAAATACTGTAGCTACTTGTTTGTATTCTCCAGTCTTCGAATTCACTTCTCTTTTCGACTTTGTTTTTGGGTTGATTGTCACATAATTCGAAGACTCCCCTCATACCCTCCTACCTCATACCTCTTACCCTGCATCTTGCACCGCTACGCCCGCTATATCCTCTTAACCCTTATCACCCCACTCACCCTTTTACCAAATCATCTAGTCGTCCTCCACTATCGCAGTGAAGGGTTCATATCAAGCAAACAGCACCAGGCCACGGGTAACGTTGAGCCCGACCCAAGCCTTACGGTAGCTACAAGGAGTGCTGCGGAGACCTTCGGGAAAACGCACCTCGGGATCATCGGGCACGTGAAGAGCTAGGCCCGGGATCTTTTTGCTAGCAAAAGAACCTTTCCTCGAGTGCTTGTACAGCACACGAATCCACCATTTTGTACCGATTCCCATCGTCGTCTGGGAGTCCATCCCCTCCCCCCATCGTACCATCGTCGCCCGATCTGGCGCATCAAAACCAACCCGGGCCCTCCGACCCCTACCTCGCCCTCCCACCGCCTGAAGACGAGATCCCCGACCTCGACGAACTGCCCTCCGAACAACCACCCTCGCCTCCACCTCACACGCCTACCCCTACCATGTCAGGGCATCACCGCATCACCCTCGCCGCCAACCCCCCCTACTTCGATGGCGACAAGTCCAAATACCTGGGCTTTGTGGACGCGTGCACCACTTACATCGGTGCCTATCGATCGGAGTTCTCACAAGATGAGACCAAAATCCTCTTTGTCCTCTCCTACCTCCGTAACGAGAACGGCACGAGCTGCGCTGCCTCGAGATGGGCGATGAACTGGAAGCAGCACAACTTCGATGGCTTCCAGGGACTGAAGGCAGGAGTCACATCAAAGAACTTCCTGGAGGAGTTTCAGAGGGCGTTCGGGGACTCCAATGCGGAACAAGTCGCCGCTGCTCGGCTTATGGCCCTGCGTCAAAACAAACGGTCCTTCGCGGACTACATCTCCGACTTTGAGATGTTGGCCGCGGATGCAGGCTACAATGTGGTTGACACCACCGACGACAAAGGCGAATACAAGAAGGGGGACCAGGATAATATCCTCATCGAGTTCCTGGAGCGCGGACTCAGCAGCGAGATCGCCAGCCGTCTCTACAACACCGGTGTCCCTCTGCCCAAGGCCTATGGAGCGTTCAAAGCCTGGTGCATCAACATCGAAGCCAATGCTCTGCGTGACCAGCTGCGCAAAGCGTCGTATGGGCACCCCACACAACGACCACCTCCCCAGTTCCGTCCCCAAACGGCACCAGTGGCGCCCACACCCGCTCCGGCCCGACCCGCTGCCAACGAACCGGTTCCGATGGAAATCGATCGTACCCACGCCCGCGGCCGCAATATCATCTGCTACAACTGTCAGCAGCCCGGGCACATTGCGCGGAACTGCCCGGAGCCCAAGAAGAAGCGCACGTTCTTCAATCGGGCCACAATGCTGGAAGAAATCGAGAACGGGGACAAGGACAACGAGTTCCTGAAGGAGATTGCCGAGAAGCTGCGCGAGAAGGGTTTTTGAAGCGCTCCACTCCTCTAGCCAAGGAGGTGGAGCGTCCGGACTATGGACGATTTTCTGTACTTGTTTCGATTAAAGATACGGACAATATTTCATCTACATACACGATCTCAGACTCACTACGTACAAATATTCACGATTTTCTTATTGCCGAGATGGAAAAAGAACGCCAGGAAAAGATAGCTCTAAATAGAAAATACTTACAAGATAAGAAGGATCAGAAAGCTGCAGATAAACTATTTTTGGACTCCTACGTATTTATGGCTCGTGGAGAAGGAACCACGTCAACAAAGACCGAAAAGGGGAGCATCGCTCCGAAGGCTCGATCCTTGGAAAAGGAGGAAGCGCCCAAAGAATCTGCCAAAATCGAGGTTCCAGAAGCACCCAAACGCACCAGGGTGCCAGATGCCATCCAGAGGAAATTGGCGACCGAGAAACAGAAGGGCCCCCAGCCCAGCAGATTGGCGCAGGAATTGCGCAGTTACCAAGCCGAAAGAAAGAGGCATTCGATGGACGTATATGTCCAGATCACGGGCCTGGACTCAGGGAAAACGCGTGGAGTCAAGGCGCTGCTCAATAGTGGCTGCAGTACCTGCTGCATCGACACCGACTACGCACGGGCAGAAAAGCTGGATATCCAAGAGCTTCCGCAACCCATTGTGGCTCGTAACGCCGACAACACCGAGAACATCAGCGGTCGGATCACACACTACGTCGACTTGAGAATGAGAATCGGCCCTCATGTGGAGACACGCACGTTCCTTCTGACGTGTCTGGGAAAAGCCCGGATCTTCATCGGCCTGGATTGGCTGACGGAACACAACCCCGAGGTGGATTGGCAGGAGCAGACAATGAGATTCAGCCGATGCCCAGAGCAATGTCAAATGAGGGGTCACGAGGAGCACCAAGCGATGATCGACATGGATGCAATTGACCTGGACGCGGGTGCACCGGATCTGGAAGAGGGAGAATCGATCTTGTTGATCGACTTTGGAAAGGAGGTAGACCTACGGCTGAAGGAAACGCCGGCGCAGAAATTCGCAGAAGAAGCGGAAAAGGAGAAGGAGAGAATGACCGAGGGAAAGATTCCAGATCAATACCGAGAATTCGTCAAAGTATTCGCCAAGGAATCATTCGACTCGCTACCGGACCGACGGGCATGGGATCATGTGATCGAGCTCAAACCAGGCTCCAAAGCAGTGGACTGCAAGGTGTACCCCTTATCGAGAAACGAGCAGGTCAAACTCGACGAGTTCTTACAAGAGAACCTAGCCAGCGGACGAATCAGGCCATCAAAATCACCCATGGCATCGGCATTCTTCTTTGTCAAGAAGAAGGATGGCTCGCTACGGCCTGTTCAAGATTACCGGAAGCTGAATGAGATGACAATCCGAAATCGGTACCCGCTACCGCTGATTTCCGAACTGGTCCACAACCTGTGCGGCGCCAAGTTCTTCACCAAGCTAGACATCCGGTGGGGATACAACAACGTACGGATCAAAGAGGGCGATGAGTGGAAGGCTGCGTTTCGCACAAACCGCGGACTTTACGAGCCCTTGGTTATGTTCTTTGGTCTCACAAATTCCCCGGCAACTTTCCAAAACATGATGAACGACATACTCCAGGAACTGATCAACGAGGGACATGTGGTAGTTTATCTGGACGACATACTAATCTTCACAGAAAATCTGGATGAACATCGACGAATCACCAAACGGGTACTCGAGTTGCTCCAAAAGCACAAATTATACCTGAAGCCAGAAAAGTGCGAGTTCGAACGCACGGAAATCGAATACCTGGGTGTAATCATTGGACACAACTCGATGCGGATGGACCCTGTCAAGATCAAGGGCGTGATGGAATGGCCGGAACCAAAGAGCGTCAAACAAGTCCAAGCCTTCCTCGGATTCACAAACTTCTATCGACGTTTCGTTCGGGGATATGCGGAGGTCGCCAAGCCGTTGACGCGGCTGACAGGGAAGGCAGGATGGTCATGGGGTCCGGATGAACATGCGGCGTTTGATGGGTTAAAGAAGAGAATCGCGGAGGATGCCGTCTTAGCACTGCCAAATGACACTGGCCAATATCGTCTGGAAGCCGATGCTTCGGAAGGGGCAACAGGATCAGTTTTGAGCCAAAACCAAGACGGCATTTGGCGCCCAATCGCATTTATTTCGCACGCATTGACCGAAACCGAGCGAAATTATGAGATCTACGACAAGGAGATGCTCGCAATCATGTTATCACTTGACGAATGGAGGCAGTTGCTCCTGGGAGCCACGGAAACGTTCGAGATCTTCACCGATCATCAGAATCTCGAGTACTTTCGGAAGCCGCAGAAGCTCAATCGACGGCAAGCACGATGGATCACGGAGTTGGCGGAGTTCGATTTCACCTTACGACACCGACCCGGCGCACTCAACCGCAAGGCGGACCTCCTGTCCCGACGAGCAGATCACGATCAGGGCAAGAACGACAACAAGGACGTCACGCTACTGAAGCCCGAGTTCTTCCGATCACAAGAAGTCACATTCGAGGGACAGGATCAGCAGCTAATCGATGAAATCAAGGCCATTCGATCAATTGATGGAAGCGTCAAGGCGGCCGTAGAGAAGTCACTCGTCGGATGGAAGAAGGAAGAGGGGCTTTTCACGTACCATGGGAAGCTCTACGTACCAAGAGACGAGGAGTTGCGGGACAAAATCATCGGACTACACCACGACACCCTTTGGTCGGACACGCCGGGATCAACCGAACACAGGAGATGGTGGAAAGAAACTACTGGTGGCCCAGGATGGGAAACCAAATTCGGAAATACATCCAGACGTGCGAAGCGTGCCAGCGGACCAAGACCAGAAGAGCCAGGACAGGGAGTTTGCACCCGCATGCAGTTCCAAACGCGCCGTGGGAAATCATCTCCATGGATCAGATCGGACCCCTGCCGGTCAGTAACGGGTATGACGCAATTCATGTGTGGTGTGACACCTTCACCAAAATGATCCATGTCGAACCAATTAGTACTGACATCAGCAGCGAAGGAGTAGCACGATTAACCAGGGACCGAATCTTCCGCTATCACGGGGTCCCCCGCAAAATCATCACTGACAGGGACTCTCGATACATCAAGGGCTTTATGAAGGAAACGAATCGGATGTTGGGCGTGGAAATGAATCCGGGGACCGCATATCACCCCATCACGGATGGGCAGACGGAGCGTATGAATCAGGAGATCGAACACTGTCTCCGCATTTACGTCAACTACCATCAGACGGACTGGTCGGAGTGGCTGGGAATGGCGGAGTTTGCATACAACGACAAAATGAACACGTCTACCAAAATGTCGCCGTTCTATGCTAATCACGGATATCACCCATGGAAGGGAGTGGAGCAGCGGATGGAATCAAGGAACGAGTCGGCGGAGGAATTTGTAAAAAGGATCAAAGAAATACAAGACGAAGCAAAAGCAGCATTGGAAAAAGCAAAAGAAAAAATGAAAAAATACTACGATAAACAAAGAAAAGAAGTTCCGGAGTTGAAGGTTGGGATGAAGGTGTACATAGAAGGGGAAAATATCGAGACGGATAGACCATCAAAGAAGATGAGCGACAAGAGATTGGGACCATACGAGATACTGGAGAAGGTTGGAGCGGCCGCATGGAAGCTGAATTTGCCGGACACGGACCGAAGACACCCGGTGTTCAACGAGTCACTGTTGACACCCTATCACGAACCACCCCCCCATCGCCGAGAGAAGAGACCCGTGGCCAAGATGATTGGAGGAGCAGAGGAGTGGGAAGTCGAAGAAATCGTGAAAGAGCGAAAAGTCGGCCGAGGAAAACAGTACTTGGTCAAATGGAAGGGATGGCCGCACAGCGAGAACACCTGGGAACCATCACGTCACCTTACCCACGCGAAGGACGTCCTGAGAGACTGGCAGAGGAAACAATCAAATCCAGACACACGCATTCGCCTCCTGCCAACGCTCGAAGCTGGACACTGGGACTATCTCATTCATCGCTACCAGCCCAGGGACGAGTGCCTTCCATACCCCCAACGACAGCTCTTCGACCCTTACGAGAACGTCTTCTTACCCATTGGCCTGGTCGATGAGGACATCGACCCTAGAGAGGGGGTAATGTCATAGTTCGGCCACTTTTTCATCTTATCATCAACGATCTTATCTTATCTTGGCACAACTTATCTTATCACGGATCACGGCATCAGACGGTCCGGACTAGGGGTTTCAGGGGATTATCTTCATCGATTCGAGGCTGCGCGACATATGCTCCAGAAGGTTCTACTACGACCCATGACCAGCGTTCCATGCGGTACATAGCCCTATGACTCATTAGTTGTAGATATGACTCAGACTGGATTTGGGTATAAATACTGTAGCTACTTGGTTGTATTCTCCAGTCTTCGAATTCACTTCTCTTTTCGACTTTGTTTTTGGGTTGATTGTCACATAAATTCTATAAACAATTGACTCTCTTAGTGGAGGGGCATCTTACCTTTGAAATCACATCTGTTATCTACACTCTGACTGCTCTTGAAGCTTACAAGCTTCATAATGCTTATTAATTACATCTACTGTGTTGCTAAACCAGTTGATTATTGATATATTATTCTAACATTCGCATTTTGCTAAATCTGTGAATATTGGAGTACTCTAATTGTTGGTATATTCAACCATTCACAACTACCAGATATTGGACCCACTATATAGAAGTCCCAATAAACCTTGCTCTTGCATCAAAAAGATTGATTAATCACAACTGTGTGATTAATCAATAAAAATCATTTGATTTTGTTGACAGTATCCCGTGATCAAGTTGGAACATGGCCTGTGACAGGTCATAGTCATAGTCATAGTCATAGTATAATTGCCTTGGCATGATCCAAGAGAATGTCCAATCAAAAGCTGAGAGTTGCCACAACAAGATTGCTTTAATCTTGCAACTAAGCCCTTGAATATGAATTCCAGAGTATTGGTCTGACTGCCTTGCCATTGTCAACACTATCCACAGTCGTCAACTGGGCAGCAAACCTTTAAGTCCTCCTGAACACAACACTGACACCCACAATATGTTACACCAAGTGGTTCAATAGTAAACTCTGTAAAAGCGCATAAATACACCCTTCACTACAGTCAGACAGGTAACTAGGCCTCTAAGGGGCGTCATGACGAAAGTGGGACCCACCTTAGAGGCCAGTTTTCAGCATAGCTACCACTGTGGTATGTACCAGTCTGGTATCTACCTGAGTGCAGGTATGTACCTGCGACTGGTGGGTGGGACCCCAGCTGGCAGCCGGGGGCAAAAAATGCATTTTTGGGGCCGTTTCTAGGCTGTTTTGGCTGATTGTTTGAGCATTCTGCCAGGCTAGGTTTACCCATTTTTTGTGCAAAACTTTGATCCACATCATTTCTGAAGTGATCCCATCATGGGAACCATTTTGGATGCTGCGCTCCAACCAGTGATCTGATCACCCATGTGTATAGATGAAAGTTGTTCAGTTTTGTGAGGGCTACAACTTTGGTTTCTCATCACTTTCTTTGTCAGCATCAATCACATGCTCTACTGCCACGGCAAATGGCTCTGTTTTTGATTGCGCATCAATTTTTGATGGTGCCAATGATGCCAGTTCCAATCTCATCTTATCTTTCAGACCTAGATTGACATTTGGTGCTTACTCAATGGTGGTCCCTGATAATCAAATCCCAGAGAAATCTAATCTTGATGTGGCTGTGTGTGATTGGATCAATAATGTGGCACAGCTTCCATTTTAGGTTGCATGTTCAACTTACATAATCTCAATTGAACATATTGGACATGTGACTTCCTTTTGGGGATATTTTGATGCAACTTATAGCAACCCAAAAAGGAAATTTCCCTCAATTTTGCAATAGCACATGCTCATATTGTGGGTTTCTTCTCAGCTCTGTAGGATATATTCTCTTATGTGATTCCTTGCACTTGTGCTCTTCAAAACTTCTACACTGTTGTTTAATGCCTCTATATCCTAATTCTTTCAATGATACCCTACATGACTTTCATTGACAACACATACTTCTCTATGCATATTCCTATTTATTTCTAATGTTTTATGCCTTTCAAGTAATGTGTTGCTGTCCTGGATTACATAGTAGAGCCAGCCATTGCATATATATATGGATAGTAACCATTGCCTACCCATCCTGCTTTACCACATAACCGGCTATTTCTACACCCCCAATTTACATGAGTCATGCCTTCATTGTAACAAAGAAGAGTTATTGAGATTAACATGAACATAGAAACAAAGAATACAGTGAAAGCAATGGTCACAGGTGGGAAATCAAAGTGCCCTTTGTAATGCAGGTATTCTTGCTTCAGTAACTCAAAGCAATGTTTCACTTTATTGTAGCAACCAATTCGGAGATTTTCCGCACTTCATTGATCTGAAAATGAGGCTGTATCTATTTCATTCAGGTGCATCTGGTTTTATATTGCAAAGTGAATAGGGACTCTTTGGATGGGTTTCATGCTCTCTGCAACATTGCAATGAGCTTTCACAGTGATAATCTTCCAGATTATGACATCTATTGCAGAGGAGACAGAAAAGTGCGATTTTTTTCGAACTTGCATTGGTAGAATATCTGAATCTTGTTGAGACACACTAATTCAATGTCATGTGGTCTTTTTGTGTTTCCTTGCCATAGATGTCATAATCTGGAAGATTATCACTGTGAAAGCTCATTGCAATGTTGCAGAGAGCATGAAACCCATCCAAAGGGTCCCTATTCACCTTGCAATATAAAACCAGATGCACCTGAATGAAATAGATACAGCCTCATTTTCAGATCAATGAAGTGCGGAAAATCTCCGAATTGGTTGCTACAATAAAGTGAAACATTGCTTTGAGTTACTGAAGCAAGAATACCTGCATTACAAAGGGCACTTTGATTTCCCACCTGTGACCATTGCTTTCACTGTATTCTTTGTTTCTATGTTCATGTTAATCTCAATAACTCTTCTTTGTTACAATGAAGGCATGACTCATGTAAATTGGGGGTGTAGAAATAGCCGGTTATGTGGTAAAGCAGGATGGGTAGGCAATGGTTACTATCCATATATATATGCAATGGCTGGCTCTACTATGTAATCCAGGACAGCAACACATTACTTGAAAGGCATAAAACATTAGAAATAAATAGGAATATGCATAGAGAAGTATGTGTTGTCAATGAAAGTCATGTAGGGTATCATTGAAAGAATTAGGATATAGAGGCATTAAACAACAGTGTAGAAGTTTTGAAGAGCACAAGTGCAAGGAATCACATAAGAGAATATATCCTACAGAGCTGAGAAGAAACCCACAATATGAGCATGTGCTATTGCAAAATTGAGGGAAATTTCCTTTTTGGGTTGCTATAAGTTGCATCAAAATATCCCCAAAAGGAAGTCACATGTCCAATATGTTCAATTGAGATTATGTAAGTTGAACATGCAACCTAAAATGGAAGCTGTGCCACATTATTGATCCAATCACACACAGCCACATCAAGATTAGATTTCTCTGGGATTTGATTATCAGGGACCACCATTGAGTAAGCACCAAATGTCAATCTAGGTCTGAAAGATAAGATGAGATTGGAACTGGCATCATTGGCACCATCAAAAATTGATGCGCAATCAAAAACAGAGCCATTTGCCGTGGCAGTAGAGCATGTGATTGATGCTGACAAAGAAAGTGATGAGAAACCAAAGTTGTAGCCCTCACAAAACTGAACAACTTTCATCTATACACATGGGTGATCAGATCACTGGTTGGAGCGCAGCATCCAAAATGGTTCCCATGATGGGATCACTTCAGAAATGATGTGGATCAAAGTTTTGCACAAAAAATGGGTAAACCTAGCCTGGCAGAATGCTCAAACAATCAGCCAAAACAGCCTAGAAACGGCCCCAAAAATGCATTTTTTGCCCCCGGCTGCCAGCTGGGGTCCCACCCACCAGTC